GCAGCGCGCGTCACGTGCTCAACGCGCGGATAAACAATGGAGTGAAAAGTGGGCGCGGGCGCAGTGGACTGACTGCTGCAGCATCTGTATACAGCTGCATTATTCAAGCATCACGCGCGCAGGAGCAACTAGCCACTAACCTTTTTAACGCTTTTATATTACGCGTGGCAAATTAAATAGATGTGGTTCCGTCATGGTCTTGTGATCGTTTATGAAAGCCGAGATTACAAAAGAATCACTGTTTATCTCTTACATATGACTCATAGTAATTATGGAGAAATGACCTGCCCATATGATAGTAAACAAGGATCTTAAACATATGCCTTGCGAGAAGAATGAATACAGTGTTTCCAGTTTCAGGGGGAAGGAACATAGACATTTAGATAATGATATATGGCAGAAATACAGTATTATACTGGCTACCCTGTGACTAGTTTCCACCTGAAAACTATAGTTATACAGTTATTTTGACTAATTGCACTGTAAAACATATTTTCAGCATCATAAAAACGTCTTGTTTCCATCTCATAACAATTTCAGTCATTTCTATTGTTTTATGAATTTCTTAACTTCATTTTCTTGATTCAGTAAATTATTTCTAAGTGGGCTATTGTGTACCAGATTGATTTTTAGAAATGCAATAATCTAGCATTTTCATTTTTAATGGGTTACATTTTTATAGTGTAGTAATAATCATGAAATAATTAAAAGATTCTGAAATCTTCTTGGTTTACTGTAACTCTACTGTATACTTTGGAAAAAATGTTAAAGGTCTTTAAAGGTCCAGCAAAGAACCACCCTGAGCATCAAGCACCGTTTTGGTTATGTTTGGTGCTTGTTATTTTGGAGGTTTTATGTTACATTAGCCTATATGTGACCCAGGACCACAAAACCAGTCTTAAGTGGCACGGGTGTTTTTGTAGCAATAGCCAACAATACATTGTATGGGTCAAAATTATCAATTTTTCTTTTATGCCAAAAATCATTAGGATATTAAGTAAAGATCATGATCCATGAAGATATTTTGTAAATTTCCTACCGTAAATATATCAAAACTTAATTTTTGATTAGTAATATGTATTGCTAAGGACTTCATTTGGACAACTTTAAAGGTGATTTTCTGAATATTTTTTTTGCACCCTCAGATTCCAGATTTTCAAATAGTTGTATCTCAGCCAAATGTTGTCCTATCCTAACAAACCATACATCAATGGAAAGCTTATTTATTCAGCTTTCAGATAATTTATAAATCTCAATTTTTAAAAAAAATGGACCCTTATGACTGGTTTTGTGGTCCAGGGTCACATACATTTTGGTTCTTGGCTGTTTAAAGCACCAACACATAGATGATTTCTAAAGAACTAGACAATAACATCATGTTGAACCTTAAACTGAATGTGGCAAGATATGTTGGTGGAAACTGTGGTTGCCATGGTGCTAATTTTATAAAACAATAAAAAAAATTGAATCATTATGTTACCTTTAAATAATCATTCTCCGACCTGAGTTCCTCAATTTCCCTGATTAATTCCTCATGCAACCCGTCCATTAATTCCTCAGTCAGGTCCGAAAACGCCAAGGACGTGCTGGCGGGCATCCTGCTGTCGCGATCTGTATCGTGAAAAGCACTATACAAATAAACTATATATATATATATATGTGTGTGTGTGTGTGTGTGTGTGTGTGTGAGTGAGCGTTCCAAATTTATATTAGAAATTCATTACATTAAAATATGGCATTAAAATGATATTATATTTAAATAGAATAATATATGCATACACTCTTTGTTCCAAATGTATATTAGAAATTAATTACATTAAAATATTATATAAAAATTTTATATTGTAATATATGCACGCACTCCATGTTCCAATAACAATATATATATGAGAAAAAAAATACCATAACAAACATAATATAAAATAATGTCATGCTGCATATTGTAAATAATAAAATAAAATTTTCTTTTGTCATTATAATATTAAATTAATGTAGGATTTATTTCATAAAATTTTTCTTGAAGCAGTCTTCTTTAGACTCCTTCTGCTTTTTTAATAAAATTTTTTATTTAATTTAATTTTTAAATTAATTTGGTAGCAGTACCAGGTAATACCTGCTTGAAGTTAAAACAATAACTGTGAATATGACATTTTGTGTTACATTTTGTGGAAAACTATAGTGACCTTTTGGTCCATTTTTGTAAAGATTTCTTAAATTAATTAAAAGAAATCAAATAATTAAATCGTGTATACGTTTATTCGCTATTATATATGAAACATGTTTATTTACTGTGTCCCATATTAAGTCATTTAAAAATAAATGTTATTGCGATTAACCCTTGTGCGCTCCTCATTTGGGAGTCACACTAAATAGTCTTCACGATCAAAAGTGACCGAACACCTTTTTTTCTTCTTCAGTAAAATCAATCTAATATATCTTTGTTCAATAATATTTTTTTTCTTTTGTATTTTGAGATAATTGCATGGTACTAATTAACATTTATTCAATAATTATGATACATTTTTCCCATTGAAAATAGTACAAATTTTTAATTATTTGTCAATTAATGCAGTATTTCAGATTAAAATAGAGACTAGGCCATTAAAAAACAATTTTTAAGGCAGAATAGCACCTCCTGGTGAGAGCAAAAACAAAAGGGACAACCTGTAATTGCATGCTGTAACCACTAGATTCCTGTATAGGACTCTTTAGAGAGAGGCTTGTGAATTCCCTAGTTGTTTTATATCTGACCTTGACACAGACAGCTGAAAGTTGTCTTCCATGCTGCAGTTAGACTCATTTCCTTCTCTCTGATTTACTCATGACATGAGTCATCCATGTGGCCTGACCCCTGACTTTTCCCTCTTAAAAACTTATAAAGAACCTTGACCTGCACTGAGGAAAACAATTCCCAATTGAAAACAAGCATCACGTGGTTTGGGTCATCAGAAACCAATTAGGCCTTGCAAAATGGTTGAGATGCTTTTGAATAGCTGTTTGAAACTTATGCTGAACAATGAGTTGATTGATACGTGCAAGGAAAATAGATTTTTAATATAATCTTAATTTAAAAAATCGAGTGATATTTGTTTATTCAGACTTTATCTTCTAGTGGAAACATCAGACTTCTCCAGTCTTTTAGTCCTCTTTAACCTTGCACCTTTCTTAAAATCTACTACAAGCTCATTCATTTTGAGTAAAACAGCCATATGTCAAAATTCAATCAACAGCTGATGGATGAAACCCAAAGAAATCCTCCGTCTGCTTTTTTTCCCCTCCAGTAATACATTATGCTCTGATGTACATCACAAGATAGAAAAGAAAGAGATTTGTCATCATTTGAAATGTATTTCCTAATATTGCAGATTGGTTGGTCTAAAGAAAATGTCTGATAAGGTTTATTATTTAAAAAAAAAAGCAATAAACATTGCATAACATATACTTGTAGGTTGGCACCTTGCTTTGCATATCTGATCTAATAGTGGGTTGGCTCACTGACTTTCACTGAATTTCCTGTGTGAGATAACCAAGAAGTCATAATGGTTAAAGAAAGAAGTGTAGCAGTGAAGATCTCTTCAGTACTGCTTGATTTGTCTTTGCTTTTCGTGTTACTTAAAGACTTCAGAGTTGTCCTGGGGCTGTAATAAAACTGCTAATTGCTCTCCAGTAATTTGTGCTCAGGGAATTCGCCGAGCACAAATAATAACCTACTAGAACAGACCGGGAAAGACATTCAGGAAGCTTTTTTAATTAACTCTGCAATGGCTACATAAAATTGCGTAGCTGGTTAATAAACTTTAACCGTGCTAGAAGCATTCCCTCAGGTCTCGTCTAGACTGAGATAAGGCTGTCCCGTATTCGTCACAGTACAGGTCTGTCTGTCAGGTTGCACTCTTTGGAAGTAGACCGTCCAAAGTTCAGTTCTATATCAAATGCGTTCCAGCATACAAGCCCATGGGAGGAGACCCACACTGGCTCCACCTCTCCGTTAAAGTGCGGCCGGCTAGTTTCAGTCAAACATGACGGATGAATGGGTGCATGAATGTAGGCTCTAAGATTATTGGAGGAACAGGTGAATGATGGGATTTTTGTCCATTTCAGTGTTTTTTTTTTTTTAAGTTTTTTTTAAACCGACTCCAAGGTTGAGGTGTTCTCTTGTTTGTGTGTCTGGTTTTGACTTTTTGTCTCTCCACAGGTGTCCCTGTTTTGGATGTGGTAACAAGTCTCCAGAGACAAGAAAGTGAAAGAGAGACCATGTTTTAGAGTTCCCGTGTTGGCAGCCCATTATCTACAATGAACAATGAAGACGAGTTCTATGATGCCGTCACAGGTAAGACATTTTAAATGGCACGTGATGGTAGGGCTGTTTTTAAAAAAAAAAAAATCATAATGGTTAAAGAAAGAAGTGTAGCAGTGAAGATCTCTTCAGTACTGCTTGATTTGTCTTTGCTTTTCGTGTTACTTAAAGACTTCAGAGTTGTCCTGGGGCTGTAATAAAACTGCTAATTGCTCTCCAGTAATTTGTGCTCAGGGAATTCGCCGAGCACAAATAATAACCTACTAGAACAGACCGGGAAAGACATTCAGGAAGCTTTTTTAATTAACTCTGCAATGGCTACATAAAATTGCGTAGCTGGTTAATAAACTTTAACCGTGCTAGAAGCATTCCCTCAGGTCTCGTCTAGACTGAGATAAGGCTGTCCCGTATTCGTCACAGTACAGGTCTGTCTGTCAGGTTGCACTCTTTGGAAGTAGACCGTCCAAAGTTCAGTTCTATATCAAATGCGTTCCAGCATACAAGCCCATGGGAGGAGACCCACACTGGCTCCACCTCTCCGTTAAAGTGCGGCCGGCTAGTTTCAGTCAAACATGACGGATGAATGGGTGCATGAATGTAGGCTCTAAGATTATTGGAGGAACAGGTGAATGATGGGATTTTTGTCCATTTCAGTGTTTTTTTTTTTTAAACCGACTCCAAGGTTGAGGTGTTCTCTTGTTTGTGTGTCTGGTTTTGACTTTTTGTCTCTCCACAGGTGTCCCTGTTTTGGATGTGGTAACAAGTCTCCAGAGACAAGAAAGTGAAAGAGAGACCATGTTTTAGAGACCCCGTGTTGGCAGCCCATTATCTACAATGAACAATGAAGACGAGTTCTATGATGCCGTCACAGGTAAGACATTTTAAATGGCACGTGATGGTAGGGCTGTTTTTAAAAAAAAAAAAATCCGTAGTATGTTTGGTATTTTAATGAAGTGTCCATTTGCGCCGCTTCTTTGCAGCCAAATAGCACTGTAACCAAACACAGACGTTGTGCACATGATTGTAGTGGTGATGAATGGATATTTGAGACCAAAAAGGTACCTCTAAAATTTGAAATCCTAAAAGAACTTAAAGGGATAGTTCACCCAAAAATGAAAATTCTGTCATTAATTACTCACCCTCATGTTCCAAACCCGTAAGACCTTCGTTCATCTTCAAAACACAAATTAAGAATTTTTATTTTTATTTTTTTAATCCGAGAGCTCCCAGACCCTCCCATAGACAGCAAGGATCCTTTCACAATCAAGGCTCAGAAAGGAGATCGTTAAAATAATCCAGGTGACATCAGTGGTTCAACCGTAATTTTACGAAGCTACGAGAATACTTTTTGTGCACAGAAAACAAAAATAATGACTTTATTCAACAATTCATCTCCTCCGCGTCACCCTATAGCGCCATTTTGGAGAGTATCACATACGTAAACCAAGTATGCAACGTATGGACGCGGATACACTGTTTACGCTTTGATCTGCACGTAAACAACGTATCCGCGTACATATGTTGCATACGTTGTTTCAAAAATGCTTTAGAAAACTGAGTCGGGCCAAGTACCGAAACAAACTTGTAACCAATCAGCAGTAAGGGGTGTGTCTACTCACGATGGGGATGGGAGAGCGCTCAGTGCACAGGACGGACATTAGCCGAGCTGAGCGACGACAGAAAGATAGAGATGGCAGATTAAAAAAAAGCAAGAGGAAAACGTCTGCGGAATAAAAGATGGCTTACGATAACGCAAGTAGTAGGACCAGTGTAAATATCGGATCAGCTTTCCAGTGCTGGAGAGAACTCAAGGAGCGGGAAGGCCTGCGATCGGACGCCGAGGTTGCTTTGTTTCTTCTCAATCGGTGAGTAACATTTTTTTTTGCATTTTCACAGAACTAATATATGCTGGCTTTTGCTTGAATATGCTCGTGAGTCATTATCATTGCCTGGGTTGCATACGTATGTGTGGGGCGGGGCTATCAAAATAGGGGCGAGACCCTTTTGGAGTAGGGGTGTGTTTGTTTGGTGATTTGGAAATATCAATATTGGCTACCAGAAATCACTTACCGCACCTTTAATGACAGTTTTCATTTTTGCGTGAGCTATCCCTTTAAATTGATTCATGATCGGAAGTTGTTTGTAACATTACCTCTGTGACACAAGCCCATCCAGACCTGTCGCATGTCATGAAAATATTGACATTTACACACAGCAGTATTAAACAGCTGTGTTTTTTTTTTTTAGGACAATCTAATTTGTCCCCTATTGTTAGTGTTTTGGCCAATGTTGACTTTGGCATTCGTCTTGTGTGTTTATGGTAGAGTGGCCGCAACATGGGGTGCCATTCTGGTGTTGGCTTACCCGCAGTCTGTTGATGGCTTCAATTATGTAGTGCTGTGTTCAGATGGCTTCTTTCATTGCTGAGATGAAATGAGATAAAAAAAAATTTATGTAATGAATAAATAAACAAGGCGATACGGACCTTGGCAGGTCATTGTGCTGGGCTCCTGAAGTCTGATATCAACAGAGTCGCTCATATCAGATGGTACAAAATATGAAGGAGACGCATTTTAGACCATGTTATTAAATAGTGCCATAGTTAATAACTGCATGTTGATATCAGGTGTACAGAAAATGTTTGGTGAGGTGTTCTGCATTTAATGTTCCAAAAATTTTAAGAGATGTATTTGTAAGGGTGATATCAATGCATATATCAGTTTTTGGTCAATATATGTTTTATATGGAGCTGCTCAATTTAGGAAAAATCTTGAATTGCTTTTTTTAATTGTTTAAATTTTTTTACAGACAAATTGTGAAAAAACTAAATCCAGGTTTGCTGTGCCTGTTTGTACTATTTCACTGAAGGAAAAAAAAAATATATATATATATATATATATATATTATATTAATTAAACTATCAATAAAAAATGTATTAACTTAATTCGTTTGATTAATTGTGCAGCCCTGATTTTATATATTTAATATAATTCATTTTGAAGAGTAAAATGTTTATTTATTCTGAACTCTCGTTTATATCTCGTTTCGTGTTTCAAAAAGAATTAACCCTCTTAAGGTTGCAGTCATGCATCTCTGTCTATCTGTCTCTCTAAATAAGATGTGCTTGTGTGTCCCAGGCTTGGATTCAGATGAGTCGTGTGAAGGCACATCAGAAGCCAGTTTTAAAGATGCTGTAGTGTATGGCGGCGCTCAGAAGAACAATGGAGCGGTTCCTCAGAACGGAATTAAGAAGCACAGGTACAGCCAGATTCCAGCACTGTGACCCATATGCTCTTTGTCTCTGCCTTTAATCTTTCTCACTCTCTCTCTTTTCTTTCTCAAGATTCTTATTGTTCATCTTATCTTTACAGTTCATTCTCGTTCATTTATAATCTGCACCTACATAATGTTTATGAATGGGAAAACATTCTTCTGCCCTCTTAGGTCGTCTCTTCCTGCCCCCATGTTCTCCAGGAATGATTTTAGTGTGTGGAGCATTCTCAAGAAATGTATTGGACTGGTAAGGATAAATAAATAATCATTTTAGCAGCAAGTTTAGCATGATTTCAATCTTATTTTTGTGGAATATTGCCATGTTAATTTTTCTGTGAACCTCATTATTTTTTTAATTCATGTGCCCCTGTAATCTTCAATCAAAAACTTGCCCTCCCCCTCGAAACGATACCTGTTCTCTGATGACGTGAGAACGGGTCAGTAATAATCTCTCGCCTCCAGCAGCTGTCACTCATATGAGAACACAGCAATTACAAACGACAATGGCCCAATCAATTCCTGATGTACAAACCCTGTGTTTCTTGTTCTCATTAAAGAAGCGGTTTAACTCGCTGTTTATACGCTACAATAGGGAAGAAAAACGCATGCCGTTTATTTTTTTTTTAATATTCCGCACGAATAGTTCTTTAGCATTAGTGTTTTTCTTTTTCTTTAAAGGAGTTAAACAACTTCTCAGAAAGGGTGAAAATCCAAAGTAGTAAATTATGTACATGCAGTCACATTTGACTTAAATAGTATAACTTTATTAAAAAAAAAACACATCTCAGGTCATTCTCTTCATTTGCACTCAGTCCTGCTGTTTTTTTTCGTTCAAAAATCTGCATTGGGGCCCCTTAAAGAACTTGTCTAAACACTGTCTAATGGACATAATACTGAAGCACTGTACTTTTACAGGGTTTCTTTAATAACTATATTAGTAAAGTAGTTTGAAGTTGTAGTGGTGTTTGGTCCTGCTCAGTCTGTTTGCTGGTGCTGTTTTCTAGGAGCTGTCCAAGATCACCATGCCCATTGTGTTCAATGAGCCCCTGAGCTTTCTACAGAGAATCTCTGAGTATATGGAGCACACATACCTCATCCAGAAAGCCTGCTCACAGTCCGACACTATAGAGAGGATGCAGGTGAGACCACACACACCTCTTAAAGCAGAGGTCTCAAACTCAATTCCTGGAGGGCCACAGCTCTGCACAGTTTAGCTCCAGCCCTAATCAAACACACCTGATCCAGCTAATCAAGCTGAACTCTGCAGAGCTGTGGCCCTCCAGGAACTGAGTTTGACACCCCTGCCTTAAAGGCAGATTGTTGTGTTTGGATTTTATAATTGGTTTATCATTTTAATATAAGCTAGGGCTGGGTCAATATCGAGATGAATCATAATAGATATTAAATTGTCAGGCAGTTGGTGAATTCAAACCTGTTTTTCTGTCTTTTTTTTAAGACGGTAGCTGCCTTTGCTGTGTCTGCAGTCGCTTCTCAGTGGGATAGAACTGGAAAACCTTTCAACCCGCTTTTAGGAGAAACCTATGAACTCACACGGTAAAGGCACATCAGCAGAGAGTTTAATAACGAACTATGCTGATAAGATTTGAGGGATGTGGGTTAGATCAGAATTGGTCTGGAGGGAAACTGGTCTCTGTCATTTATGTAACTCTACTTCTCCTTCCCCTTAACGCTTCCTTCCTCTGCTCTTGTTGGCTTCTCTTCTCAGAGATGATCAGGGTTTCAGACTGATCTCAGAGCAGGTGAGTCACCATCCGCCAATCAGTGCATTTCACACTGAGAGTCTGACAGGTGACTTTGTGTTCCACGGCTCCATCTACCCCAAACTCAAGTTCTGGGGCAAAAGTGTGGAGGCAGAACCTAAAGGGACCATCACGCTAGAGCTTTACAAGTGAGTGTGCCGTGCTGAGTAGACCATGAGAGAGAGATTCCCTGATTTATTTTTGTTTTGATTTGGTTTTGCTTTTCATTTATTATTATTATTATTATTATTATTATTATTGGTTTTGGTTTTTTATTTTTTTGGTTTTTTATTTTGGTTTTGTACATGACATGCAAGAAAAAATAAATATATCGTGCACACGATTTACTATTTCATTCCCTCCATTTATAAATTGTGTGCACGATTTACTAATTTGTATAAATTGAGAGAACGAATTAGTAAATTGTGCGCACGATGTAGCAAATCGAGGGAACGAAATAGTAATCGTGTGCATGTTTTAGTACATCGAGGGAACGAATAAGAAAATCGTGCACAATTTATTTATTTTTCTTGCATGTCATGTGCGGGGCTCCGTAGTTTTGCTTTAAATGCCTGCCTTTTCATTTTTGTTTTTTGTTTGGTTGTTTAATATTAAATTTTTTATGTAATGGGCTGGGGTGGGTTTGTTGTGGTCTTATTTTTTTGTTTTGTTGTTTTGGGATTTTTGTTTGGGGCTTTTTTCCCTTTTTTGTTTAGTGCTTTTTATTTGTTTGTTTAATAATAATAATTATTATTATTATATATGTTTATTTATTTTTGCCTTTTTGGGGGGGGTGGGGGGGGTTGCTTTTTTAGTTTATTTTATTATGATAATTTCTTTTGGTTTAGTTTTTGCTTTGTTTGCCTGATTTTTCATTTTTGTTTTTGATTGGTTGTTTGATATTACATTTTAATGTAGCTAATGCTGGAGGAGGGTTGGCTTTTTTTGGGGGGGGGGTTTGTTTTTGTTTTGGTGTTTTTAATTTCCTTTTTTTTCTCCTTTTTTTTAAAAATGTAGCTAATGGTGTTTTTGTGAACATTTAGCTAACTTTCTTGCTATTTTTGTGTTCATTAAAAGGTTTATTGATTGTGTGAGTGAGATTTTTCTTGGATGAGTCAGTGGTTGCATTTGAGAGCTAAGGGTTCTGGGGTTGCCGAGTAACTGCCTGCTCACTTACGTGTGTGTGTTTATCCTCACAGGCATAAAGAGGCATACACATGGACAAACCCTTTCTGCTGTGTACACAATATAATTCTTGGTAAACTGTGGATTGAACAGTACGGCACTGTAGAAATTGTCAACCACAGGTAAAGCCAGACTGTTCAGTTTTTATGATCCATCTATTCTATTGTGAATTCACATGGTCTGAATTATTAATGTGATGTGTGATTGGTTAGTACTGGAGAGAAGTGTGTACTGAACTTTAAACCCTGTGGGATGTTTGGAAAGGAGCTGCACAGAGTTGAAGGTTACATCCAGGATAAGAGGTGAGATCCTGACTCACTTGATTTAAATGAGGAAATTGTTGCATTAATCAATATATCAGTTGTCTTTGATTTATACTTATTTATACTTACCACCTAGCAGCATTACACACACAAAAAAAAATTCTGTTATCAGTTTCTATTAATTTATCCTGTTTTTTTTAGGATAATGACATGACTGATATGACTAGTCATACGTACAATTAATTTCTTGGAAACAATAATGACCTTTTAAGATTTTAAAGTTTAGAAAACAGACACCCTTGATAACCGTTACATGAGGCACCGAGTTTGTTTATTTATCTTTATTTAATGAGTGCATGTTTCCTGTTCTTTTCCTGTGTATCTCACATCCAGTAAGAAGAAGCGCTGTGTGATCTATGGGAAATGGACCGAGTGTATGTGGAGCGTCGACCCACAGGTGTACGAGGCCCATCGGAAACTCGAGAAGAAAGGAACAGCGGACACTAAAAAACAGAAACAGGTGTGAAAGATAATAGTTGACCTCTCATGCTGCTTCTGCCCCTGACTGTTAATGCTTCCGGTAAAACTAAAGCAAAACTCTCTCGGTGTTCAAGGTAACAGAGCGAGATGTAGACTAGTATCATTAGGAGGTGTAGACATCTTAGACTGTCTGTAGTGATTCATGCACATGCCGCGAATAATGGAGTGTTGTTTTAGGGTTACTGAATGGTTTGTATTGGTGTATGTGTGGTTTAAATGTGCTAATGTATGTACAGCAGAGCTGTGTGTAGGTGTAGAGAGAGCAGGTGTGGTAAAATACTCATCATGCCTTAGTCCTTTGCCAGAGTTTTGTCAGTTCATTTGTTTATTTAAACACGTGTCTCATTACATGACAACACACCCAGCTGATTGCTATATTTAACAGACGTCTTGTCAATGAGAGTGGGAGCTTCTGTGTGTTTTCTGCATGGATGCATACTAGGGTTGTGACGGTGAGGACATTTTCCCACCGGTTAATCGACGTATGACAACACCGGTAATACCGGTATCACTGCGGGGCGAGGCGTTCCCTCTTTTCCTTGCGGTGGGGGTCGGTGACCCGGTGGGCAAGTGACGTAACCGATGTTGCGTATCACCGTCAGCACCGTCTATCGCGGCAAGCCTAATGCATACTTTGTGACTTAAAAATGGTCGCTATCATCCTCATGTCATTCTAAACCTGACTAGCAATTCCTCTCCTGTGGAACATAAAATTAGATACTTTGAGAAATGTCTCTGTGTTTTTATTCCCAGGATAGAAGTGAATGGTCACCCCAACTTTTTTTGTTGCAAACATTTTCAAAATATCTTCTTTTGTGTTTTGCAGAAGATACTAAGTAACCAAGTGACACTTATTTTAAACCATGAAAGCCCGAGCTGACTTTTCAAGCGAAACATTTCACAAATATAACTGTTTAATTTAAAATGATAAAACAGTATATGCACTGGAGGGGGCACTTGGTTTGATATCGTGTCTAATGTGTTTTATGCTCTTCCTGAATACTAGGTATTGTGTGAATAATAAAAATGAAAGTATATAAGGGAAAGTTATTGTGTTTAATCTATGTACTTGCACCAACAGGAGGAGCCAGAAGCCGTCAACGAGGATGCCGATGAAATGCCTGAAGTACAGGAGACTGTGGCAGTGATTCCTGGTAGCACATTATTATGGAGAATATCATCAAGACCGCCTCATTCAGCAGAGGTACACACACACTGTTATGTTAATGTGCAGAGGCCTGAAGGCACAGACACATCAACACATGACTTTAAGTGAAAAAACAGTCAAACAAACAAATGGATGATTCCTTAAAAAGTGACACTATTGTTTGGGGTTGGTGCAATTATTATTTTTTAAGTAAGTCTCTTATGCTCATTAAGACTGCATTTATTTGTTTAAAATACAGTAAGAACATTTTATTGTGAAATATTTACATTTAAAATCATTTTCTATTTGAATGTCATTTAAAAATGTAAGTTGAATTTTCAGCATCATTACTCCAGTCTTCAGTGTCACACGATCCTTCGGATGCTGATTTGCTCAATAAATATTTTTCTTGTTATTTTCAGTGTTGAAAAATGTATATTGCTGCTTAATATTATCATGGAAGCCATGTTTTTTCAGTATTCTTTGATGAATAGAAATAAAAAATAAAAAAATCTGTAACATTCTCAATATCTTTACTGTCACTTTTGATCAATTCAACATCCTTACTGAATAAACGTTGTAATTTCTTACAGAACATACATAAACACTAGTTTAGTAATGGTGGTCTACCTGATTCCATACCCCTTGTGTGCGCGCTTGTGGCAATTAATGTAAAAAGCCATAGATTTTATTTTAATTGGTACAATATTTAGCCTTTTGGATTTTCAGATTCAGATTAAACTTATGTGAAATAGCCTCATCACGTGTTCGTTATGGTGGAGCGTTTTTCTTTTTTCCTTTCACTTGGTTGTTTCCACAGAGACTCGTGGGGTGTAAAATAGGCTGATTGTACCAACATTCAATAAGGCTTTGTTGACATACTGTAAATGTACATATTCATATTTCACAGTTTTTCCTAATGTATTGGTGTCACACTAAATTGTTCCTCAAGCACTATCAATTGAATTTGTTTTATGAAAACTAGGGTGTCATGGGTTCTTTTATTCATCAGCATTTGCATCTGTTATCACTGTTCTCAAATATAGACGTGTATTTGAGAAACTAGCTAAATCTATGCAACCCATCAAACTGCTCAAACCCCACATAATTATGAACGTACAGAATGGCAGCTTATGGAAGTGTACATATAACATGAATTTTATTTGAGAGAATATTTCCTTCCTGTAGATGCCATGACAATAATTTTACACTTTGTTGCATACGCATTCAGACCATAAAAGTGATTCTTTTCATGTAGAGACGATCTGAAGCGTGCAGGTCAAATGAGCGGGTTTGAAGCACACCGATGCAACCATTGTTGCTCTTCTCAAGTACACACACAAATGTGTTTTATTTCCCCCAGTGCCTGACTTTCAATGCACCTGTGAGTCACTCACTAGTACTTCATCTTGAGCTGTTTGTTCCCCATTTAAGGGTGATTCATTTGAATATGTTAGACATTTTATTTGATTTTCTAACCACCTTTCCCCAAGTCTTGAGTACTAAACGTAAACCGGAATGTCTAAATATAGTCTGTGTCTGTTAGATACACGACATTCTGTACACTACTTGTTTTGCATCCTGTATTGTATCTGTTCCTTCATTAAATGTACATTTGATTATTTGAAAACTAGCGTTCTAAAACTAATATTCCACAATTAAACTAGATTTTATTTTTATGCGGCTTTGTGTCAGTTTATTGTGTAAGTGGAATAACCGGATGTCATATGCCATGTTGGGGAAAGTTACTTTTAAAAGTAATGCATTACAATATTGCGTTACTCCATAAAAAAGTAACTAATTACGTTACTTAGTTACGTTTCATGGAAAGTAATGCGTTACGTTACTTTTTAAATCTGGACAGGGCTTGCTTGTTTGTTTTTTAAAATAAAAAGTTATATTTTTGGCAAATATAAAAGCCTTTTCGCATCAAAAGTGAAATGAATAAGCCTCAGGCTGAAGGGAAAGTAAATTTTCGTCCGTACAGTAGAATGCAGAAGAAGAAATTTCAACACACCTCAACAACAAAAAACACACAAATGTTGTCTAGAGTAATTTGTGCTTATTAGTATGAACTGGATCATCGAAGGTCAGAAGCAAAGACATTGGTTAATAGAATGGGATTAAATACATAAAGGATATTTGTGTTGTTTAACATTTAATTATTGCAGGTTTGCGTCATATTCTGTGTTGCATTATTTTTATTCATTTGGAGGAATACTGAATCTGTGTTGTTTTTTTTGTTTTTTTGTGAGTGAGATGAATTAATGCATATTCATATTTATTTTAGAACTACAGTAACATCTTCTGATTTCTCTCAACATGGGGACAGGAGAGCTTTCAATCAATAAAATGGTTAAAAAAAAGTAACTTGTGTTACTTATTTGAAAAAGTAACTCCGATATTCTCTTGTAAATTAAAAAGTAATG